ACATGACCAATCGCATCCCAGTGAAAATATTAAACTGTTCGAACGGGAAATGACGTCTTCTCAAACACAAAGGGTGTATAGCATCATACTACGGGCAAGCATGATGTTAGCCATGTTATATACAGGGCAAGTAGACATTGTCCGTTACCTACTCGGTTGGGGGGCAACTGTGGTTTACCTGCTCGGTTGGGGGCCATGGGCGCCCGCATGTAGGGGCAAGGGGGGCACTTGCCCCCCCCCTGGATTGATTGGATAAAAAATTTTTAGACAAAAATAGACAAAAAATTTATTAAAGTAAAGAGAAAATAAAGAGAAAGTAACTAAGCTGATGTCCTGTCGGTTCGTTCAACATACACGTACGCTACAGTAAATTAAAACTATATTAAAACATTACTAACATTTTTTTGCCTCCCCCCCTGGAAAGTTCATCGATCTTTTTGCCCTCCCCCCCCCCTAGAAAGTTTTCTGCGGGCGCCCATGTTGGGGGCCACTGTGTGTTACTTACTCGGTTAGGGTCCACTGTCCGTTATCTACAGGGAAAATGGCCACCGTGTTTTACCTACAGGGCAAGCAGCCACCGTGAGCTACCTACATGGTAAGTAGCCACTATGAGTTAGCTGCAGGACACATTGCCAATGTTTTACCTACAGGGCAAGTAGGCACTGTGCGTTATCAACAGGGCAAGTAGTCACCGTCTGTTACCTACGGGGCAAGTAGCCAATGTGCCTTATCTACAAGTAAACCCGCCCCTCCTGAATCTATTTAGAAACCTTTTATAGATTTTTAATAAAACTGAGTATAATTTGTTCTTCGGGAACTGTCACCATGACCTGTCCCCATGGCCTGTCACCATGACCTGTCACCATAAACTGTCACCATGACCTGTCACCATGGCCTGTCACCATGAACTGTCACCATATTCTTTATTGAACAAAAAGTTGACATACGTTATATTTTCTAACATGCCTGCTATACAACACCTGCGTCTTTGTGACTCCATATTTTTGAGTTTATAAAAGTTTATCGAGAATATTTGGTGTGATTTGCGCAGGAAGTTTTCCAACAAATTTATCTCCGTCTTTTTCTTCATGCAATTTGCCCAATGCATTGCCAGATATTTACCCTAACCCTAACCAATGCATTGCCAGATATTTACCCTAACCCTAACCAATGCATTGCCAGATATTTACCCTAACCCTAACCAATGCATTGCCAGATATTTACCCTAACCCTAACCAATGCATTGCCAGATAATTACCATAACCGTAACCAATGCATTGCCAGATAATTACCAAACCCTAACCAATGCATTGTCAGATGCTTCCTCTAAATCTAACCAATGCATTGCCAGATATTTACCCTAACCCTAAGCAATGCATTGCCAGATATTTACCCTAACCCTAACCAATGCATTGCCAGATATTTACCCTAACCCTAACCAATGCATTGCCAGATGCTTCCTCTAAATCTAACCAATGCATTGTCAGATACTTACCCTAGCCCTATATAACCAATGCATTGCCAGATAATTATCCTAACCTTAACCAATGCATTTCCAGATACTTTCTCTAACCCTAAGCAATGCATTGCCAGAGACTTAACTTCACCCTAAACAATGTATTGCCAAATAATTACACTAACCCCAATCTTTTCTTTGCGAGATACTTCCTCTAACCCTGACCAATGCATTGTCAGATACTTCCTCTAACCCTGACCAATGCATTGCCAGATACTTACCCTAACAAATGCATTGCCAGGTACTTACCCTAACCCTAACCAATGCATTGCCAGGTACTTACCCTGACCTTTGTATATTCTCTGACGTCACAAATTAACCATCCTTGATTTCCTACAAGACTTGTATCAATAAATTCTTGAAAATCTTGGTCGGTTGTTAAGACAAATATTCTAGACTGAAGTCCATGTCAGCTGAATGAAACGTTCTCTGAACGCCTCGTCACCGATTTCTATAAAGAAATGTTCATAATACTTAAATCCTGTTTTAATGTCTGAAGCGACAAAAATATTCTTTATTAGTATTGAAAATGCATTTCCTTAATCAGCAGCTTAATTTATGCAACAAAACGTTTGAGTAAAGTATTAAATTTAATGCGAAATAAATCATGAAATTGAATTATTTCTAGAGCATTCTTTTTAATAAGCTAACGAATCACGTTACGTAATTTACTGGGTTTTTTTTCTTTTTTTAAAAATAAAGTTGACGGGGATGTAAAAATGTGAGTGAAAACCTTAAGAATAACGCCAAGAGACCAGTGACAATGGCTTAGGAAGGGGGTTTGTCCCCCACCCCCCATCGGTGGTACTAAAACTAGCTACGCCACTGCCCCATGGCTAAAGTTTTAATTGTTTATTATTTGGATTTTGAACCATTCAGTTATTTGAGGACAATCGATGTTATGACCTTGACACCTAAAACGTGATAACATTGACAACCTACAATAGTATGACCCTTGACAGCTACCACAGACATAATGGAGTATCATAGATAAGTTTCATGTTCTCTGACTTAATTAGCTCTTCATGTTTTTTAACTTTTTAATTTATTGTTTCTGAATTATTATAATTACATTAATATTATAATTAGCAAAATTACTACTACTACTATTATTATTATTATTATTATTATTATTATTATTATTACTATTTGAAATATTACTAAGATTATTTCTATTATAATTAAGCCCTATTTATATTTAAGATAAATAATTCGTGTGCATATCAGGACCTTGTGTTGAATATTTCTTTTAATTTACATAATTTATAAGAAAACAGCAAACTTCAATTGTACCTTTCTAGAAAACCATCGGTATTATAAGGTTTACTAGGGAAAAGGATATTCTCACAGAATCACGTCACTGGAAGCAGACTAATGATTTCAATTATTTGAAGACAACGCCATCACTTTCGTGATAAATGACCACTTAATATAATGTTCGATAAATATTTTAATGAATTATTTCACCGGTTCATATTTAGCCTCCCCGTTTCTAACAAACCTGCACGGCTTAACAAGCTTATCTGCGATTCCTTAATATGTGCCTATTGTTACAAGGTAGAGCAGCTTTTTATGTAGGCTACCCCATTAACCTAGGGGAATCAGAGTATACCGGGTTAGGGTTAATATACCAGGTTAGGGTTAGTATACCGGGTTAGGGTTAGGACACTGTCCATGACTGCTGGATTCCTTAAAAGTAAGAAAAAAATTCCGTGTGCCCTTATTCCAAAAAACGATGGCTTACTCCTGAGTTATCTGCTCATTTTTGTTGATGATGAAAAAACAGCATTGTTATCATTTTTAGCTGAGCTGTTATCTATATTAGGATTTCATGTATACCATGATTCACTACAAAGATATAACACTTTCTGAAGTACATACAACAATAACTCAAAGAAATACATACAACAACCCTCTTCTACCTTTCTTAGGCACACTTAAACAGGCCCGCTCAACATCTGGCCCGCGGGCCACATGCGGCCTGCCAGCACCCACTTTGTGGCCCGCGAAGTAACGAAATAATATTTATTCTTATTATTTTCTTAATAGCTTTATCCGTGACATATTTTCTTTTGGTTCGCACAAGTCCTGTCATATTTTCGTTTGGCTCGCACACGTTTTTCATGAAGTTTTTCGGCTCGCCTTACATTTTGAGTTGTGCAGGCCTGGACTTCAACATACACACAACATTCCTTTTAATCAATTTTTTTTAATTTAAAGAAAAATTGTGTTTATGACATCTTCGGGGCACCAAACACACCGCTCTCCTTAATTGGAGGAGATTTTTCTATCTAAAGGGACATAGCCTAAATAATGAACACTTTTTTTATGTATCCTTTTTTTGATGTTATTTCCCTTTAAAGGTGTTCAAAGTGATTAATTTGAAAACTCGATTTTCAACTACACTTCACGAAAACCTCAGATTCACATACTCAAACGTTTCTCCTATGGTAAATGGGGATATCACTTTTGTAAATTCAACCCAAATTGCTTCAGGTTTAGCAATAGAAAATACGAAATAGGTTAAGAAAACAACTTTAAGAAAAGAATAAAACAATTTTTTGCCAACAAGTTCATTGATTATATATATATATATATATATATATATATATATATATATATATATATATGTGTGTGTGTGTGTGTGTGAGGTGTGGTGTGTGTGTTTGTGTTTTATATTTATTTTTTATATTTTTTTTTTTTGTCTTCTGCGATAATTTTGCACCTATATGAAGTTTGCGAATGTTTATTTTCAGCACGACTCAGAGCCAGTGAAAAACTGTTTAGATAAACAATCAGACTTTTATAGAAGCTTTGGAATCCAATGTTTACACACTANCCCGGGGGGGCGGCCCCCCCCCCCCCCCGAGATATAGCTGAAAGAAACCCTGGACCTAATTTAAAACGCACCGGACTTCTGGTGACTACCTGCCTTTAATGGCTTCTTTTTCTGGTATTACCCTGCCCTTGTATTTAGACATGATCTGTTACGAAAGCTACTTGCGAGTTACGGTTGTGTCAAACTCGCAATTTTTATTTGGTGTAGCCCCCATCCCCCCACCTCTGACACTACTCTTTACCTGGATCTGCTGGGTAATTGGGTCTCCTTAACTCACCAGCACTTCGTAGTCAAAGTTTTTTAGTAATTAAATACTTTTATGACTGTATGATTCTCTATCTATCTCCATTTATTAGTTTACTCAATTTTGCAATGATTTTATTTTCGTAAAACTATTACATTCGAATTTAAGTATGAACATTAATCTTGTAATTGTAAGGTGTTAATTAAAATGTATTAAAATTGGTTAATGTATAAAAAAAATTACTTATATGACATGAAAGGGGATTTTCAAAATCATTTTTAGGATGTAATTAAATTAAAATAGATAAAATAAAAAAGCCTTGCATTACATTTGAAAGATATGATAATAAATACGAAAGAAAATTCCGAAAAGATTGTGAAGAAAGAACCGATATGATGAATCTCTTAATGACCTTTGCCCTTTCTAGGTCACTATGGCGGATGAAAAGCTTGCTCGAGTACGAGACATACTTCTAAAACAAGGATCGTTTCCAGATTTTCCAAAGAAGGGTATTTTATTCAGGTATGTTGTCGGTTAATAATTGATTTACGTATGTAGTAAAACTGACAACTAGTTTTTAGTGTTCCAGTTTACTGACTAATAACATCCTGATGGTTAGGACTACTTTCATAAAAAATTTAAACTTTTTGTTAAAAAAAAACTGGACGTATGATTTTTTTTTTGTCGGATTTTTTATGCCCCTTATTATAAGCTATATTAATTTTGATCCAAAAATTTGTGATTGACTCTTGACATTTTTCACTTTTTGACCCATATTAAAATATGGACGCGGTTGCTTTTCATGAAATATTTTTTTCTAATTTGTATACATTACATTTTTCTAGGCACTTTGATTAAAATTTCATAACATTTATAAAAATATAAAAACACTACAGCTGTATAGAGCCTGGAGATAGGGATAACAATACTTGTCCACGCACCGTTCTGCGCATGTCCTAAAATGTCGAAAAAACGTGTTCTGCAATATGGCGTACAGCAACACGGTATCATTGGAAAATTGCAGACTACGTCACCTTTGTTTATTAAATAATTGCGTTCCTCATCACTGACGTATCAGTTTTTGTGTTCCGGTCATATATTGATTTATGCTACGATATTTTTTTTGCATCACGGGCAGTATTATTATGATGACTCGGTTGGTATATAAATCGCATAAATACTTTTTTACTAGTAAAGCCACCAAAATAAGGTTTAGTGCTCCCTAATCTACATTCATTGTAAGAGTTTTTTCATTTTTTGAGTTATTATCGTTGAGGTCTCGATAAAAAGTTATGCCACCCGCGAATAAGTGGGGGGTATGAAATTATCATTATTTTTTTTATTTTGACCGAGAAGCCGGAAATGGCTGCTATCACTGTTATTCGTTAATGTTAAATCCTTAAACATCTAAATAATTATAAGACGCTTAAAATGAATCATTTTAAGAAAAGATTATAAGCAAACTTGAAAAGTTTATATAGTAACCAAGGGTTGGTTTTAAGTTTTATTTATTACGTTAAAAATTGTGTAGGGTACCGGTACACAGTTTATCGTTCATTCATTATTGAATCAATATTTAATAGTTTTACATAGTAATATCGATAATAATAATCGTTTTTCTCTTATTAATTATTTCAGAGAATATTACTAAAATTAGGCCTACTTATCATTATCAGTTATAATTATAAACAACTGTTATTATAATCCTATTTAGGCCTAAGCTTAATTTTTCTTACTAATTCTATTACAATTTACAAGCCTATACTGTATAGACTATAGACTATAAGTTCTATATATTTAAATATAACAGTTTTATTAAAATACATCAAATTAATAAACAAGACTCAAACAACATCATCATAGCAATTATATTTTTATTAGGACATAGAAAAGCAGTACATAGACAATTATTTAATATATAAAATAATTTTTTTAAATGAATTAGTCTCAGTCTCATCATTATCATATTATCATGGATGATATTTGAGTAATTTTTATCTATAATTACCATGCTTTCAATTTTATAAATAAAAAAGACTACTTACCTTTTAATAAATATAATAATTGATTTAAAATTAACACAAGCATAATAAAATTAATTAAAATTCAATAAATAATAATAAATATGGACATATGGTGAGGTTTTTTTTTCGTTTTTTCCTGCATAAATATTGATTTTCCCAATTTTTTTGTTCACTTTTTTCTGAACATACCCACAAATAAATTTATAAAAAAATAAAAGTCTTAATGTTATATAAAAGTTTTGTTGTTTATTATACTGTATATTGCATTGAGAATGTCTCCTGAAAATTTGGTAGCATTATCTTTTAAAATCAAAAAGTTTTGGTTAAAATAAGGCAGAAATTTTGAAAGTGGGTCACATGTTTTTTCAGTTTAATACTAAGATAAAGAAGGGGGTGTTTAAAAATCACCAAAAAAATCATAACTCCACTTCTATAAAAGATAGAAAGATGAAATTGGTGTTGTTGTAAAGCTTATAGCTGGCCCTTTAAAATGATGTATCATTCATGGCAATTTGACAATATTTAAATTTTGTGTCAAAGTACCTACTGGAGAATAGATTACAAAAACACCAAGATCAACTTTCTAGCTCAAGTGGTTCAAAAGTTATGAATTTTTTAGTAGGGACCTCAAAGGCACGTTTTTACTATGGGATTTTCCTCCACATTTCGTGACCCTCATTTTGATTTTTTTTTTAAGGCCTATAACTTTATTATAAAATGACACAAAAATATAATATTTACAGGGAACATATTTTAATTAGAGTACTTCTAAATAAAACCACAAAATATAAGTTAGTTTTTGTTAATATTCCGCAAAAATTATTTTAAAAATCTTTATTATTTTCCTATTAAAAATATATAAAATATGCTGACTCGTCACTTATTCGTAATTAATTAATTAATTATGTATAAATATTTTTTTTCAATTTCCCAAAATTCATAATAATAATAAAATATTCTTAAGATATTAATTTCAAATTTTCTGTGGAATTGTTTAAAATTTATAAGTATATACTAATAATAAAGGGATTATTTGTTTCAATAAGTTAAAATTGACAATTAAACTTTTTATTTTACCATTTTCTATATAATGTATTTTAGTCCCATACCATATGAATGTGTGAATATGACAAAAAATAGTATGTCATTTATTTTAAGTTAGTACAGTTGTTTCACAGATCAACATTTATTATTAGAATCAACTTTAGCTGTTGATAGAATTTTAAATAAGTTCTAGTTATTTGCTTGAGGTAATTACAATGTTTTATTATTAAATTTTAGTAATATCTCATGTAATTCTTGGATTTTTGTGGTAGAAAGTGTGTTTTTTTCTTTGAGAATACTGAGGATTATATAATAATTCTCTTTTGGAATAGTGTGATATGTGATTAAATGAATAATGGGTCCTACAAATAACTATGGGGGGGGGGGGGGAGGTGGATAGGCCTACACTTATAATAGTAATACTATTCTAGGCCTCTATATATACATACACACATATGTATAATTATATATGTATATATATTATATGTATATATATAGTTAATAGTATACATATAACAACAGTATATAAAACTAATAGTTAACTATTAATTGTAATTAATTAGGCTTTTTTAACCTAATATCCCTCAATAAAAGCATCAAATCATATTAAAAATATGTGTTTGTTTTATTAATTATTTTATTTTTATTTCTAAATAAGTTATTAGGGGGTAATAGTCTGGATTTCCAGAGTAAATCAGGTTATTTACCATAGCAACGAATATTAACGATAATAGGTAATTTTGGGACACACGTGACTAAAATTTCCCATGAAATTTCTGACCAAACTGATGGTCCTAAATTAACAGGTCTTGGATATGTTGTAGTTAATGCCATTATTTATAAAGTCCTTGAAATTCTATGAAAGGTTCTTTTCCACACAAAAAATATGAATGAGTAAAAATTGCGTTATTTTACCTTCAATTTTCAAAGTGAAGCCCCAAAATTTTTTGGGGGACTCAAGTGTCTAATCATAACACAACATGTCTACTATAAGTTGTGGGCGGAAATAGAATTAATATGCTGGGCTATATATAGTTAAAAAGTCGTAAACAACGTGACTCTCGGTAAATTAAAAAGTGGAGGTCGCCATTTTGACAACGAAATCACGATACCCGATTTTCGGCACTTCCCGGATCTTACCGAAATACCTAATTTTTCTGATCAGCATTTTATTATTTTAAATTTGATTTGCCTTTCTTGTAGATAGACATTATCTGTTTGTATTGAAAATTTTAGAGCAATAAGTAATAACTTTATTCGTTTAGTAATTATGTCATTTTTTTGGAAAATTAAAATTTTCAACAATTGTTGTTATCCACGCCATGTGCTCCTAAAAGCATATTTTATAAAAGGGAAGCGTTATACACAGTCTGCTGCGCATAACCCTGAGCGTTATACGCAGTCGACTGCGCATAACCCCGAAAGTTATTCCCAGCCGACTGCGTATAACTCTCAGGGTTATACGCAGTCGGCTGGGAATTTAGCCAAATAATGTTTATTACCGCTAATTTTGCAAAATGGCAAAGAAGTATTATACGTAATTAGCCGCATTATGGGTTGTTTTGAACTATAACTTTTAATGTGTTAAACGTAAGACTTAAAATTTTAATTGAATTAATTTTAATTAATTTTGAATAATAGTAATACTAATAGTGCTATTATTAGTATTATTGCTTGTATCTTATAAATTATAAGTCTAAGTCAAAGTCTAAATTTCCTAGAGTCTAAGACTAAGAAGATGATTATGCCTTAAGGCAGCGGTTCTCAACCTGTGGGTCGCGACCCCTTTGGTGGTCGAATGACCATTTCCCAGGGGTCGCCTAAGACCATCGGAAAACACACGCGCTTAAAAGTTACAAAGCATCAACGAAAATAATTGTGTGTTTGTGGGTCGCCACAACTTGTAAGGAACTATGTTAAAGGGTCGCGGCATTGGAAAGGTTGAGAACCACTGCCTTAAGGCATTTCCTCGGTTTAAGTCTAGTTCTGTATTCTGATTGATTAGGTTTGTATATTTTGCTATGACTATGTGGTTGGTTTCACTGACTATTTCAGGAAATACATTCTATGTATTTTTAAAAACTCATATAATTTATTTATTTTTTTTTGAGGGGGGGTGCCTAAATGTAACAGTTTTCAGTTTCAATGCAAAACTATAACTGTGTGAAAGTATTACTTACAGTGCAGTGGCGACGCCATCTAATTTAACATGGCGGGTCACGTGCAGGTCTTAAAAAAATTGGCGGGTCCCAAATAAATATATTAAAAATAAAATTTATTTATTAAGTAAACTCAGTTTAAACCTAGTCATCTTGATAACGAAGTACCTTTATCGAACCATACTGTAATACAGGAAGTATATAGACCTCACTTGAAAGTCGGCTGCGTATAACCACTTCGTTTATAAAATATAATAGTTAATTCACGATTTATGTGTTTTGTTTTGTTAAAAATTGTATTGTAAATGTCTCCTCCAAATTTGAGCACTCTAACTCTAATAGCCAAATAGATACAAGTAAAATAGTACAAACAGTAACAATTCAATCACATTTTGTTTTAAAAATTAAATACAAAGCCAAATAGTGGGGTAAAATAAATCACTAATTAACTAAAACTTTTCTCCCATAAATTATAGAAAGATTACTTAAAGCCAGCTCTTTACAGTGATACGCTCTTTGTGTAAGTCAAATTTATTTGAAAATTTGAGTTGGAGTACCTAACCAATATATCAAAATCCGTCAGTTTTAAAGATTTTAAATGGAATATTGTAGCACATTTTTTCAGTTGTATGATAAAAATTTGATAGTTTGATGTTGAGACTTTGTATGAGCTGGTAGAACATATAGTAAATTGCCTTCCATTATTATCCTGGGTAACATTGGGTTATAGCTTCTAGTGTGAAATAAGAAAATAAATTATGTCTGTTAATTAAAACAAAAATTGTGTCAATTTTATGCATGTCAGTATGATGTACGTGTAGCATGTCAGTATGAAGTAGATGTAGTAGTGTTCTAAAAATACCATAATAGACAAATTCACCAATGTTTATTTATATTTTTTTTGGTTTTGAGGATACATCCTATAAATAAATATATATGGGTAGACTCCACCCACTGTGTACTCTCAAGAAATCACAGGATACTCTCAAGCAGGGAAATTAAGGGTTGCGGTGATGGTTAAAGTTGCATAAAATGTGTTGCATTGTAAAATTCTTTATTTTCATTCATCCAGAGATATTTTTCAAGTCCTCCGAAATCCTTCAGTGTTCAAAGACCTGAATGAGCTCATTTTTCAAGCAACCAAAGAAACTGTTCCAGATGTCCAGTGCATTGTGGGATTAGATTCACGTGGATTTCTGTTTGGCCCAATACTTGCTCAGCAACTCAACGTACCATTTGTTCCCATAAGAAAACGGGGAAAACTTCCTGGTGAACTTGTCTCTGTTGTTTATCAGTTGGAATATGGCGCTGTGAGTAGATAATACACATAATACTTTTAAGTAGATGACACATGACACTTTTCGTACATGGAAAGTTGTTAATCCATGGAATTTTATATTTGGAAATTCATAAAATTTTGCTTTACAGGGTCCCTACACAGTTTGGAAAATGGGAAATAGTCGTGAATTTATTTGATAATTTTCCCGGTCGTGAAAACCATGAAAACTGGCCTTCTAGTAAAGAAATTTTCCGGATAGTCTGTAATTTTTTAATTTTTAAAATATAATAATAAATTTGGCTTAATTTGCAATGAAAATTGGCGTTAATGGCCGTTCTCGTTTATTTTTAGCCTTTTTGTTATCAAAAGGACCTCGCTAGTAGTTTCCCCTTAACTGTGCATGCGTTTTGAGCTCTACGAGTTTCTATTACCGTACAACTTCAGTAGACCAGAAATATTTATATTCTGTTCACATCGCCGATCAAGAGGTGCTTGACTGTTTGGGTAAGTAAGTGTAAAATATAGTAAATAATTATTTTAATCTAGTTTTCTATTGTGAGGTAACCATTATAAATAGAAAACTGCTCGTCCAAGCGCTGTCTACAATGACTAAGCTTAGCGTACTTTGTTATGTCGTTGTCTTCATAAGTTGATTTTTAACGGTTTTACTGTATATGGGAGACATGTATTTATTTTTTATTATTTTATTAGCGTTAGCCAGCCTTTAACTTTTTAAAAAAACTAAATTTCGCTTTATATTTAATTACGGAGTAGGCCCTCTAATTTTAAATAGGCTAATATGATTATGATATTTTGACATTTTATTTATGCGTAGATTAGTTGACAAGTTTACAGCTGACTTTGGAAATTCATTTAAAAGTTAATGAAACTAAAACTAGTTGATTGGACTTAATGCATCGATTCAGTGAGCCTCACTACTAATGAAAATCCCATGCTCTGGGTATACTTTACGGCATTATACTATTATTCATAAGCACAGTGTCGAAGGCAAGGATGTTTAAATTTTTGTGTGTGTGGGGGGTCTTTTGGATACCCAAAAAAAATGGGGGGTGGGGAATAGGTCAAAGATGTATTTCCCTGCGGAAAATCCTGACTATGCCGTTTCATATGCATATCTTAGTATCTCTTCTTACTCTATATTACTGTAGTTTAGTACGGGTATAATATAATAATGATAATAATAAGAGGAGTCTTATATAGTGCGGTACCCCAGCCCAGGGCTGGGCTCACTGCGCTGTACATAAAAATTTTATCAAAAGAGACATAATCATGACATTAAAATGAAATACATTTATGAAATAAAGAACAGCAATGTATATTCACCTACCCCACCACATAACTTTTACAAGGCAAACCATGGACGGCAGCCAGCTAGATCGTTTAACGGTCAGAGGAGGGGAATCAGTCAGGGTAGTATAATTTAAAAAGATATATATATATATATATATATATATATATATATATATATACATAATAGTCTATATGGTGTATGCCTTACTGTAAATTATACACACAATATTGATATGATAATATATTTTATTTTGTTTCACTATACAGGCTCAAGGCTAAAAAATATATATATATATATATATATATATATATATATATATATATACATAATAGTCTATATGGTGTATGCCTTACTGTAAATTATAAACACAATATTGATATGATAATATATTTTATTTTGTTTCACTATACAGGGTCAAGGCTCAATAAAATAATGCCCACAGTTCAACGGTTCCTTTAAAGACTGATGGTCAAAACATCTATCATGATAATGATTGAACAAGTCATCACTACTTCACTATGCTGGAAATATTGATATCAAGTATTCAGGGCGATAATATTAACAAGATGTCAATCATCTGATGAGACTTCAGAGTTATCATCTATCTTAGGAGTCCTGTTCTGCAAATTCTCAGCCAAGCTTCCAATCTATGTGTCAAAATATGAAACCTTCATTGGAAAGATTTTATTGACACTTAAGTCAAACTATCCATTTTCATCACAAGGAAGAGCATGTTAACTCCATATAAGAAAAGATGCTTCCCACGTGTGGTAGCTATATGTATGTGCTAAAATGCCCCTGAGAACATGTTGCAAAATTTGCACTTGCACTTTAAACATCAAAAATTTTTCACGTCTTAGAAAATTGAAAAATTGTAATTGCTATGAAATTTAATAAATATTTACATGTACACACCTCAATTACCGGTACTTAATTTTTTTTTCATTTGTTATGTATTTCAATTTTGCTTTACTTTGACAATTGCATGGATTTTTATATTATCAACAAAAACGGCGCATTGCGATAGTCAGGATTTTTTTTTTTTAGTTGGGAAAAAGTAGGGATTTTGTTTTTAAAAAATTATGGGAACCCTGTTTCATTTCTTTTTGAGGTCTCATACAAATACATAGCCTTTAAAGATATATTATTTCTTTCTGTGGTCTCATACAAAGTCATAGCCTTTAAATATACTTTTTTTTTAAAATTTGAGTGTTTTTTTTTCTTCCCTTGCAGGATACATTTGAGTTGCAGAAGAATTCAATAGAGAAGGATCAAAGGGTTGTAGTTGTTGATGATTTGCTGGCAACAGGAGGTGGGTCGTAGTTGTTGATGATTTGCTGGTACCAGGAGGTGTGTTGGAGTTATTAATGATTTGCTGGTACCAGGAGGTGTGTTGGAGTTATTGATGATTTGCTGGTACCAGGAGGTGGGTTGTAGTTATTGATGATTTGCTGGTACCAGGAGGTGGGTTGTAGTTATTGATGATTTTACTTTTACCAGGAGGTGGGTTGGAGTTATTGATGATTTTACTTTTACCAGGAGGTGGGTTGGAGTTATTTACAATTTGCTAACAAGAGGAGGTGGGTTGTTATTGTTAAAAATAACATGTAAATTTCATTTTGTTTTGAGCTGAGTTATATTCTGTTAGACTAACAGTTAAAAATGATTACCACTTTGCTAATCTTTTGATAAAATTTATTACCGGTAACAATAATGCTCAAACCAACATAGTAATGTTTGACTTTATTTTGTTTTACAGGTACTATGAAAGCAGCATGTGATTTACTTGCACAAATAGGGGCAGATGTTCGTCAATGCCTTGTTGTCATAGAGCTTGTTGATCTGAAAGGTCGGGACAAGATCCCAAAACCTGTCAAATCGCTAATCACATTTACAGACTGATAAAATTGTCATTATTTTTCCCCCTCTTCTTTCACTTACGGTGACCGTGCCAAAAGCTAAGCCGAGGGGATTTACTACAAAATTGACTTTATTTCTTGTCATATTTAATTTTTACACATTTTTAAATCAAAATATTTTATATTATTGAACAACCAAGCTTTTCAAAGTTCAAAATAGAAATCTTCAAATCTTCCTAGTTCATGAAAAAAAAGAGAGATAATCATCATCTTCCTGTTATGAAATCAAATTAAGCATGTAATATATACATACAGTTAAATGTTGTAATGGTAGTTTAACTTTACATTTAGACTGATATTTAGTTAGCTTATTCATTTCGGTTGTAATATTTTTAAATGAAAATCCATTTATTGTGGCAGTATTTTTTGTTAGAATCTGATTTGGAGATAATTAATTCTTATTTTTCTTAGGTTTTATAAACTTTATGTGACCCGTTTAATCTTTCAACACATTTTACACTACAAGGAAATCCATTCAAAATATAGTTTGTTTTTGTACGAGAACTCACTGACTGCTTTCATCATATCAATGGAAGATATAGTTAACCCAGATGTGGTGGCCAACACAGACTTCAAAGTGGCTTTAGTCGCCGGGGGAGCAGCGGGCACGGCGGTGGATATAATGTTGTTCCCATTTGACACCATTAAGACACGTCTTCAGTCAGAGGCAGGTTTTCTAAAGTCAGGAGGTCTCAAGGGTATCTACTCTGGCCTTTTATCAGCTGCCCTTGGCTCTGCCCCTGGAGCTGCCTTGTTTTTTTGTGCCTATGAGTCTTCCAAGTCAGTTTTTAACTCTTTTTCAAGGGACCAACATTTCCAGAGTTTTGGTCACATGGCTGCAGCCTCCCTTGGCGAGGTCACTGCATGTCTTGTACGCGTCCCAGTGGAAGTGGTCAAACAGAGGACTCAGGTGGTCAACACAGGATCTTCGCTGAAATCATTCCGTTTGACCTTGAACTCTGAAGGCATCAAAGGTTTCTACCGTGGATACACAAGTACGGTCATGCGAGAGATTCCTTTCTCCGTTATTCAATTTCCTTTATGGGAGTTTATGAAGTCCAAAGTATCACAAGAAACCGGTCAACCTATCACTGCCTGGCAATCATCATTGTGTGGAGCTGTGGCAGGGGGGACGTCAGCTGCCTTAACCACACCGCTGGATGTTGTTAAAACTAGGATCATTTTAGCGGAGAAAGGATCTAGTGTGGCCAGGGGGGACATTGTGTTTGTGCTCAAGCATGTCGTCAGAGAGAAGGGCATCAGGGGCTTGTTTTCTGGTGTGGTGCCTCGGGTCATCTGGATATCGATTGGTGGATCCATTTTCTTGGGTGTATATGAGAAAGTTAAGATCTTAACATCTGGTCTGCTATAACAAAGTTTATAAAATAGTTGATGGTTTCTCATATAAGTATAAGATTTAATAAATATATAAATTTCCTTTTTTTTTGGTGTTATCTTGATTTATTTCAGGGGTGCCCCAATTAATAGGCAAATAATCAGTAATCTTCTACTTTGCCGAATAATCAATAACAGTACCGGTGATTGGTTTTTTGACATACTGTTCATCTGATCAGCCTACCGAAAATGAATCCAGAAAATTTTTAAAATATATTGCATGCTTTAATGGGATTTTATCCATTTTTACCAACTTAGGTTAGGGTTAAATAAGTATGAGTATCAGACCATGAGCTGGCTATTGAACATTTAACTCCTTGCGCACACACACACACCTCAAAGTATTAGAAATTGCAGTCTATTCTCTTTGTTTCTGTCGAGGTGATGCTGGTAAGCTCTTTAATGACATTATACCAGCCACTTCACAAATCTGATTCAAAATTCATTTTCAGAAGAGTTTGTGGGTCATGGTGGCATTAATAATCAGACAAACAGTAAATTTCTAGTTGTGACCAGTGGCATTAAAAATAGTCAGAGACAAATTGTACATTTCTTGTTGTGACCATGGCAAGCAAAAGCTTTGCCCAGGAAAGCAAGAATTAAAAAAAAAATAATAATAATATATTTTTACACACATTTTGGTGCGTGTACTCACTTGGCCTTCTTGATATGGCCCTGTGTGCGAGGTTCAATTATTTGATTGCCTGAATAGGGCTATCATCTATTTCTTGCTTAATTATTGTATATTATAGGATCTAAATTTGACATCATTTATGGATAGCCCCTTTAGTTAACCATACCGATATTTTAAACAAGATCTACTTTTTCTATTTTAAGGATTATCTTAAAAATTAAGAGCTGCTGCTTACTTCTGGGGATTAAAAAAAAACACTTCTCTTGACATAATTTTTAAGTTTTCAACTTTGACACAATCATTCAATCAGATTTTAAATAACATTGTTTTTTTTGTATTGTATGCTTTGGAAATTCATTGTTAAATTTTTTTAAACTTCATTTGTATTTTCTGCTATCTGTGTTTTAATTAGAAATTTCTACAAACTACATTTTGATTTGAATTGAAATAATGTAAAAAATGACAGTAAATATTAATTAACATCCAGCTAAACTAAAACAAATATTTTGTCATAACTAATGGCCTTTATACTGAGTACCAGTAATCTAGTTATAATGAATAAAGAATATGTGTTAAAAATGTTCTGTATGTTTTGTCTTCATATGTTATAAATGAACGGGTGTTTGCAAGGACACTCCATTTCAAGTATTAGAAACTGGGTGTTCATTAGCACAATGCATTTCAAGTGTTAGAAACCAGCTAGGCTCCATTGTTAGTGTTTATTTGCTGCTAGCTGGGCTCCATTATTTGTGTCTATGAAGACAATTTTTTGTAGAAGTTTATATCCAATCAAAACCTTTTATTTCTCTACAAGTTGCAGGAGCAGAATAACTACATCCTGCTAGCTAAAGATTATCAGGTGCCTCCTTTTATTATAACTATATGGTCTGCCAGTAAAATATAAATTGTACATTCTTTAAAATGCCCTAGTATTAGTATGCATGGGATCATATGCCTGCTACTGATTTGTATGCCTGCTACCAAGTTGTATGCCTTATTGTGACTATGGTTTATTTTAATTCTACAGCTGCGTTCACTTATAGTATAGTATACACCTGTTACTGAATGCAAAATAGGACCATCACACTTAAAACTTGATACTGGTACATTAATAAGGCTGTGACAATTAGAGATGACACACCAGCTTGCAAACAATTCTGAAGGTAAATCTTCAAAAGGATTACTACACAAATATAATATTATAATAATATATTATGTGTGAGGAATAATGAATTAGTTAATAGCACACTGGTAATCAATTGTTTGAAAAGTGAATCTTTTAAAAAGTGAATTTTTCAAAAGGTGACTTGTTTGAAAAATGTATTGCTGGAAAAGTGAATTGCTCTGGTTTTTTTGTGTTCTTTTTAAATATTAGGTTATTTGTTGAAAAAGTGAATTGTAGAAATGGTGAATTGTTTCAAAAGTGAATCAATTTTCAACAGAAAATGGGCATTACAATATAAAAAATGTATAACTATTTTCTCACCAAGTTGAGATTTAATAAATTCTTGAATTTTTTTTGTCAAATGACTTCATAGCTGCTGCCCTAGCAGATATAGTACTAGTTATTTTTACTAACAGATTTTTATAAGTATCAGATGCACTGTCAGTAAAAGAATCATAATTAACAGACAGTTTTTTAAAACAATTTATGGCTATCAGAGTATCTGCATCTTCCGTATCAACTGGTGTAAAGCCTAAATAATAAGATTTGTTGGTATCTATAAGAAGCTGATGGCAAAAAACCTTGTGGTCTCTAGATGCTCCATCACAATGTCATGTACAGGATTTAGAGTTTAAACCGGCCTCAGCTACTTGAAAATTACTTATGCAATGCCCCTCATCAAGCATGTTAATACAGGTTTGAGTTGAGGGAAACTCTTTAACAACATAATGAAAAATATATTTTGATACAAATACAATATCAATGAGATTTGAAACATTCATAGCAGCAACTTTTCCATCACAAGAGCAATAATAGAATAAATATTTTTTACAGTCTTTAAACTAAATTCTTTATCCAGAACCCATCTCCCCTCCCGCTGTTCTAAGAGCCTATCAGTATCTCTTAATGCTAGATGTAAATTTAAAATTAACTTGCATAATTTATTTAACAATGCATTGTTTTTGGCCTGGGATTTTTTTAAAGCGGTGGTCTAATTAAATCTTCACTTGCTTTAGCAAGTTTCATCTTCAAATTTATTTGAATTTTTTTGTAATTAAGGACCTGTCGACAATGTTATTTTAACTCAGACATATGTTGCTGAATATCATTTTCAAATTCTGAAATTTTAATCTCTAACAGAGACTTTTCCTTATTAATGATCAAAAAGGCCAAGGATAAATGTGCATTTTAAACTTGCATTTGAACACACTTTTTACATTTATAAAATACTACATTTTGAATTAGTTACATCAGGCTTAGTTGAAGTAGAACTGTTTAATTAAGTAAAAGAAACACTTTTTACAGCAGTTAAAGAAAATTAAGATTCAATATACTCTTTCAGGATTAATTTTTGCATTCTTATTGAAACAAGTTTAATGTTTATAACAAGACATAATGACAATTTGTCCTTATTCAGGCCTGTTAAAAGTTAAAGCAGTTATCCACAGAATTATATTATATTTCTTACATTAGGCCTGAGAAATTCTAAACTGTTCCAGGTCAATGACAACCTGATTAATTTTTTTAATAGGAGGATCAAACATTTTACAAGGAGGGCTTGAAAAGTTTGTCCGATTAATACCCACAGAGGCACAACTTACAGAGAAAAAATTGAAGCCTATATGTATCCTTGTTGAAAAAGTCCTCCAGGCTGCCGGGTTCCAATGCCGTATCCTTATAGGACTGTCTCACTTTGTCAATCATGTGGCGAACGAGCGGAAGATTCCTAGAATTAGTATGGCTAGCAACGAGTCATAATATTATTATAATATTCATTTCAATCAATATAGCATGCATTATGTGATTTTGTTAGCAACCCCAAAGCCAAACCAAAATACTGCTACTAAAATGTACTAACTATTGACCATGGATGATTGCCTTCCTCTCTGAGGTATAATAACTTCACTAGGATCCTGTTGTTTCTGATAATATGTTTAGGCAATGCTCTGGGCCTCCCCTTTCCTTTATGTTGAAAACGGTAATCTAATGATGTTGTATGTCTCATCCACTGAAATATAATGAAAATATATGCCAAATTTATGTCAAAAGAAGCAGAGCTAAGTAAGAATATTTATTTTGGACTCTACCATTTATGAAAGGGGAGAGGCAATTTAGTTTAACTCACTTTTATCTTCTCCCTGAACTGTATTTTGACTCTTATCCTATAACTTCATTTTTTTTAGATCAGTTAAGTAAAACTAATATTCTGAAAAAATATGTTGTAACAAAAAATAAGCAAAAGTTAATAATAACAGACTTGGCTAGGGTTAGGGTTAGGGTTAGGGTTAGGGTTAGGGTTAGGGTTAGGGTTAGGGTTAGGGTTAGGGTTAGGGTTAAGGTTAGGGTTAGGGTTAGGGTTAGGGTTAGGGTTAGGGTTAGGGTTGGGTTGGGGTTAGGGTTAGGGTTAGGGTTAGGGTTAGGGTTAGGGTTAGGG